AAAAAAAAAAAGAAAAGAAAAATATTTTCAGGACTCGAGAAAAAGAATGGAAATACGTGTGTTTCAAACGATCATTGTTCCAAATGCTCGGATTCAAGGGGAAAAAAATTGGACCGTTCAACACGCACAAGCGGTTGCTAACCAACAAAATTTGAAAATTTCGGCTTAGTGTTTACCATAACTGCGAACGATTAGTAACGCGAACCGTTCGCCATATAAACACGGAATTACGCCGCAACCGGCTTGTTTTTGATTACGAAGAGACAACGATTATGTTATTAAATATACTCGTTACGGTGTAACCACACAGCTGCTTTCGTCTTACAATTAAATATTATTATTTATTTAGAACGAACAATATATTTTTGGCGTATAATCGTTGGCGATGGTTTCCACAATGGTTTCGTCAATTTCGATATTTAATTTTGCGCGGTCCGCGCCGCTCTCCGACTTTCGCAGGAACCGAGAAGTAGCTAAATCGAATTTTAAGAAAGCGTCTGTGACGCAAGGTTACGCGCTAGATATTCAATTAACGCCATTTCTCGTTTTTGTTGGGTTTCAGCTAACAAAGTGACCGGGACTGTAAAGTGGTTCAACGTGAAGAGCGGGTACGGATTCATCAACAGGTTAGTAACGATCTACCGTTTTTCTTGTGTGTATTCTGTTTCTTCTCTTTGTCGTTTCTCTCTTCGATCAGACCAAAAACGTCACAAATTCGGGATTTTTTTTGGAGAAACTTGGAACTTGGAGTAAATGAAACATCTCCAGCGCTGATTCACTTCGCGTCGCCGGCTTGTTTCGAGTACGTGGTTCAACCAATTACGTTCGTTCGTCCACGGTTCTTTATCTTTCGCTATTTCTAGCATTCTCCTATCCGCTTCCCCACCTCGGGCCATCGTACCTCCACCTGACCCCACTCCATCCCACCCCATGCCTCTTTTTCTTTCCTAGTTCCTTTTCATTCTCTTGCTTCCCTTCTTCGCACCGTGAAGTTCCGTAATATACCGTGATACACATATACATGCATGCATACAGGTATAACGGATGCGCTATACGTTTGGATAGTAGCCAAAGCAGCAGCAGCAGCGTCCGTTTCCGCACGACATTACGGATTTTCGTTACGTTGCCTATTTCTTCAACTTAATTCACCATAGTGTTTCCCGTTTTCACCGTTTTAGTGCCGCGGGCTATTCAAAAAATCGTGTCGGATAGTGCCATGCGGCGCGATAGCGCTTCCTTGAAAAATGCCAAGCAAACGTGTTTTGAATATATAAATATATAAAATATAGAATATAAATATATAAATATATAAAATGTAGAATATAGATTATAAATATATAAATATATAAAATATAGAATATAGAATATAAATATATAAATATATAAAATATAGAAAATTATAAATTGGTAATTTTGAGTGCTTAGGTGGGTCTAAGTGTTGAATAATGCCGTGCTGCGCGATAGCGCTTCCTTGATGTAACTATGTAGAAGTATCCAAATAAAAGGAAATAGAGTGAAAACTATTTATACCTATCTATGCGCGTGGTTTAAGTTCAATTGGAAAGAAAGTAATTAGGGGAGGAAACTTCAATGTGACTAACGACGATGGCGCTATAATCGAAACGGAGAGCATTGTACATACATTGAGCGTGGCACTAAAATGGTCAGGTTGGAAGAAAGAGAATTTTTCGAAAAAGATTTGCCACCAATTGCCACCGTTCATTCGCACTGTTGTTCGTGCCGTTTGTGCCGATCCAATGGTATCGTTTCACGGTGGTAGAGGAAAACAGTTCGTGTCTGTACACCCATTGGATCGTACACGGAGATACTTGCCACTCGATCCATGAGTTCTCAGACGCACAAGAGAAATTTCTGTCGAATTACAAATTACGACATTCTCGTCCCTCTTACACGTCCTTCGATCATTGAACGACTTGTTTGATCTGTTTTAGGAACGACACCAAGGAGGATGTATTTGTTCATCAAGTAAGTATATAGTACATTTACTTACCGACACATACAAATTGTACTTGGAGTATGCGAATGATTGTTGATCACTTGATAATTGATAATTTTCCACGTCCACAGTCAGCCATCGTAAAGAACAATCCAAGGAAGGCTGTGCGCAGTGTCGGTGACGGCGAGGTGGTCGAATTTGACGTAGTAATAGGTGAGAAGGGTCATGAAGCGGCCAACGTTACCGGTCCATCCGGGGAAGCAGTAAAAGGTTCGCCTTATGCTGCCGATAAGCGACGCGGATATCGCGGAGGTCACTGGTACATCAGTCAAAGACGTGGGAACACTCGAACTCAACGTAGACCTCGGGAAGGTCAGGACGGTTACGAAACCGGTGAGAGAAACTGTTGTCATTTTATATTTCCGTCCATCCGAACCTAATGGAGATACACACGATAATGACGAGTGTAATTCGCAGGCGAGGGTAAGACCGGAGACGAAACGAACACCGGCGAGGGAGGCGGACAGCAGCGACGTTACAGAGTTCGACGACAATACGACGGCTACTATCGTGGCTCGCGCCGTTCTGGTCCGTCGGCGCAACAACAAGGGGACAACTCCGGCGAAGGTGGCGAGCAAGGTGGCGAGATCGGCGACGGAAGTGTACCACGCGGCGGTGGCCGCGGACGCGGAGGACCATCTCGCCGTTACTTCCGCCGTAATTTCCGCGGAGGAAGAGGTGGCGGACCTCCGCGTCGTCCTCGTAGCCAGGACGGCCAAGTAAAAGTCCGTAACGATTACCTTCTTCTCACTTAACTTGATCTGTTTCTCTGTCTCGACTTTTCCTGTACGTGGACATTCAACCTATCCCTCGTCAGTCTTTGCTTTCTATCGCTCCACGCAGCGTATTAAAATTACTCTACTCGTGTCTCTATCGTCGTTTCTCTCAGTGCCTCTACTCTGCTGTATTTTTGCTAAAAATCGGCTCAAGAATCTTGCATCACGTCACGGAATATTCTCTCCGATTGTAACAAACCCCGTTCTTCGTCTAGCGTTCTTCATCTAGCCTAGCAACTGACGATTCTGCATGGTAGTTTCTGTTTGTCGACTTTAGTAGTCGTCGTCACTGCCATTGTCGGCGACCCGATTAAAAAATTCCTTTTAATTTCCCCATCAGTTACTTCGTGACGAACTCGCGTTAGACTTACAATCATGCGATATGTTACAAGAACCGTTCAATGTGCTATCGCTATCGTTCCCTTTAAACTTACGTATATCGGATCGTCTTTTTTCACCTGTAAAGAACGATTGTTTGGATAAAAATGATCATTTGGATCGATTGGGAAGTTATAGCGCATTGTCCGTTTCTCAAATCTTTAGTTCTTCATTGTACGATACACTTGTAAATACTCACATCGTCATCAACGGATCGCACACATTACGTGTTTTCTCTGCTCCTTGAATTTTTATTTTATTTGTATTCTCTCTCAAGTTTGGTTGTTTCTACATTTTCCCCTCCTTTTTATCTATACTTGTTCATCTGTTTATATATCTATCTATCTACTTTTTTATCTATCTGTCTGTCTGTCTGTCTCTGTATCTATCTATTTATCTATTTGTCTGTCTGTCTGTCTGTCTGTTTGTTTGTCTGTCTGTCGGTCGGTTTGTCCATCTATTCACCTATTTATTTGTCTACGTATATACAAGTACATGTACCGTCTCTTTTCCCTTTTTCGTTAGTTCCCTGTTCGTAACGTTGTCACAACCACAAGAATTCACAGAAATGTCGCGACTGTTCGGTCCGTTGACGAATCTTTGGCGTAGCGCTTAGCACACACTATTGCACGTATCTTTTTGTACTCTTTTCAGTCGGAGCAGAAGTCGGATGCACCTAAAGATAAGGATGCACCTGCCGCTGTCCCTGCTCCACAGGTAACGTGGCTTTATTTTTCTCTGTTCCTCGCTTCGTATTCCTCCGATCATACATACATCGCTGTACGTTTTCCTTCCCTTACACTTTTTTCTTTCTTTCTTTCTTTCTTTTTTTCTTTCTTTCTTCCTTTCTTCTATCTTTTTACATTTTACACCTTGGGATTAGTTATTTCCCGATATATCAATAGTTCTGATCCCCTTTTTCAGCGTGGACTTTCTGTTTACGCGTCTCGATGCTTTCCACCGCGTTCTCTTCGTCGTAAGATTATTTCCGCTGGGTGGCGTGACCCTTCTCGTTCAAACTTTGTACGTTTGGTTTGCAGGAAAGCCAGCCGGTCCAGAACACCACCACTGAAAGCACCGCTTAACCAAGAGTAATGGTACCACTACAACAAAAACACTCCTTTTAATATATAACACCAACACCCGTTATACAACACCGAAGCAACAGCAACGGCAACAACAGCAACAGCAACCGCAGCAGCAACAATATAACATAACAAATGAAAAATGTTAAAAAAAAAACAAAAAAAAAAAAAAAAAAAAAAAGCAAAAAAAAAAAAAAGCAAAAAGGAAAAAAAAGAAGCGAAACAAAAAAAATGCAAGAAGTGAAAAGAAATTGCGAAACACCGCTCCACACTCTCCCCGGCAGACGAAGAAGATCAAGAAGCGTGTGTCCAGTCCACGGCTGCCGGAATTAGTTGGTAGAATACGCTGGATGGAAAAGCCTCGTCGCGAAGGAGAAAGAGACACGACCGTGAATCGGCTACGAGCGAACAAACCCTCGAGTTAGACTTATCGCCGTGCACCATCACTGTTTTGTACATTATATTTCTCTGTGAGAAGTAACAAATTTCCGATTTTGCATAAAAATCTCAAATCAGTTGTGTTGGAATTGAAGCGATATTTCGGGACGGAAAACGCATGATCGAAAGAGAGAGAGAGAGAGAGAAAGAGAGTAAGTGTGTGTGTGTGTGTGTGTGTGTGAGAGAGAGAAAGAGAGAGAGAGAGCGCCAGGATGTGAGTTAGGTAGCACTTGTCTTTCGCGAACATTAGAATTAAACGGAACGGCGGTAAGTCGCGTACTTGGAAGTATTTTTCGTTCGACGACGGTGAAGAAAATGGAGAAGGAATTATTCGCGATTGCGACGCAACGAATTTTCGGTGTGCGCCAAGCTTCTACAGCTTGAAAAACAAGTGGATAGTCGTCCCGATCGTGAAAGGAAACAACGAAAAGAAAAAAAAAAGAGGGAAAAGAAGAAACACGGTGATGGGCTACAATACGAATTCGAATAGGCGAAAGTGGTATTTTTGTTCTTGTTTTTGCGTATTCATTGTTTCATACGTTTTAATTTTTCTTCAACGAAAAGCATTCGATCGTTTTACGTGTATATACACATATATATATATATATATATATATATACATGCATGTATACATATGTACATATGTACGTATGCACATGCATATACAAGTGTGCATATACATGCGTGCTCAGATAGGTCATATATGCGTATATGTATATGTGCGTATGTATATAACTCTCTGTGTATTTGAGTTCAACGCGATGCTCGCAAAGTTTTTCTCTTGTCCGTGTCTCTACATATGTAATCGGTAAATGCGTGCCTTCCCTCCACCCTACCGGCCGGATATCACACTTTGAATGTCGTTAGCACGCGCGCGTGCGCCCTTGTGATCGCGCCAGCTTCAATCGTTTCCCGTTTCTCTCGAAATTAGTTCGTTCCTTTTTTTTCTCCTTTTTTTTTTTTTTTTTTTTTTTTTTTTGTCGAGGTGATTAACGAAGCAGCAAGCACCCGGAGCACTTGTTCGTATCTCGCGCAAACTGGCTTATGTCGCTCGGCTCCGGGGGAAAATGTCGAGAACGGGAGCAAGCGGGAGAGATAATTCCGCGCGCGTTTTTTCGCGAAATTCCCGGCGGAAATTTCATTTTCCCGCCAGTTTCGTGGAACTCGGCGCTGTGCGGCGCGGCGAGTGTTGCCGCGGCGTCTAGCTTCGTTTGGAGAAGTTTGAGGCAACGAGAATTGAAAAAGTTGCGGCCTGTCGAGGCTACGAGGGATTTTAATAATTCGCGAGGTCGACGGCGAGGACGAACCAAATAAAACGGAAAGTGAACGAAAGAACCGTTCCAGATGCGGTGAGCCTGGAATAGAAAGAAATCAAAAGTTAGCGGACGCGCCGACCCTCTCTACCCAACCGTCTTCCATTTTCCCGGCGTGACGCGTGAAACAAGCGGCGAATCGTCTCTGCACGAGTTCGGAAACTACGTGGGCGATGAAAGAATTCGCATTTCCGGGATATACGTGCTGTCCTGGCCTGCTGTAAATATACGAAAAGCTAAAAAAAAAAAAGAAAAAAGAGAGTGAGAGAGAGAGAGAGAAAAAAGAGAACGACCGAAGAGGGGAAAAAACTACAAAAAGGAGAGAACGATGGACGAGTTTCGACGAGTAATTGATGTATCTATTCGCTTGGATACCCGTTCAAAGTGCTTGATATCGTAGAGCGGTGACCGACGTATCGCGAAAATTCAATTGGTCTCGCGTTTTCGAATCGCCATCGCTAGTATTCACTAAAANTTTTTTTTTTTTTTTTTTTTTTTTTCTACGTGATTGAAGCGCATTATTCGATTCGTTTGGAAAATCAGTCGTCCGTCGTGTCGCTTTTGTCTCTTCGGTCCCCGGTTGGTTCGTATTACCGCTTTTGTTACGCATTGCATCGCGACGCGGTTTCAAAAATCTCGTGAAATTGTCTGTCTGATTGCGTGATTCAGCGACTTGGAAAAACAAAAGAAAAGAAAGTCGATGCGACTTACCTTTTACGATCGATCGTATCTAAAGACGCGATCGGTGCCCCAGGAGGGTACAGTCCTCGAAAGGTGTATTTATCCGACGATAAACAACGAGATATATGTCACGCGTTACGCGTTTACAGGGAAATCGGATCAATTTTCCCCGCAGTCTTCGGGCAATGTTTCGACGAGTTCGACGATCGTGACGATCGTTTATCGTTCGTCGAACCCCTCCTGAAGATTTCGGGTATTTCCTCTCGATTGACAATGATGCAAGCCAGCAATTTGTCAGTGAGCGAATGAAAACAAGCACGAATGGGTGAATGAGAAAGAGAGAGAAAGGAAAAATGAGCGAATGAGAGAGTGATAGAGATGAAAGAGGAAGAGAGAGAGAGAGAGAGAGAGAGAGGATCAAAGATTTATACGATTTTGCATGAAAAACGAAACAATTTTTTAAATTTTAGTTTGTAGTTTTTATCGTCGGAAAATAAAATGTACAATTTTCTTTCCAAACGTTTCAATGTTCAACACACACGGCAAATTCGTTGCGCCAGATTTTTCGTTTTATTTCAAACAAACAGGCAAAAAGGTATCTTTTAGTTTTTCCTTTTTTTTTTTTTTTTTTTCTCTGTCTCTGTTTGTGTCTGCGCCTCGTCGTAATAACCTTGGTTTGGTCATATTTATATATCTTGCGATCTTTGGTAAAAAAAAAAAAAAGAAAAAAAAGGCCTTGCGTACGTTAGCCGTTTGGAGTGCATTTTTTTTTTTCTTTTTCTTTTTATTTGCAACAGAGCTTGGAACGGCGAAACACGATCGGGAGGAATGAGAGCGACGAAACAGAGAGGCGCGTGTGTGTGTGCGCGTGTGTGTGCCTGCGTGCGTGCGAATTAGAGAGAGAAACGTAGAGCGTAAAAAATGGGAAATATGCGACGACTGATCTCGTGTTCCTTCGCGGTGAATGATCGAGAACGAGAGCCATGGGATCGGGGAAGATGATGATGGGTAGTTGGTCGGTTCGTCGTCGGTTCGCCGTCAGTTTCGTCGATTATACACGCTGTTTCTCGCGCGGGCGATCGAGGACACATTGTCGCGAGACGCGAACTACCGACAAAAGACGAAGAGAGGAGACGAAGAGCGTGGAGAAAGAGGAAGCGAGATCCTTGAAACGTTTTGTATGCGGGGGGAGGGGGGGGGAAAGAACGATGCATGTGTTGCAAAGTGAATTACAAGTATCGGAATTTAAAAAAAAGAAAAAGAAAAAAAAAAGAAGCGAAGAGAGGTGAAGAGTGGAAGAAGAACCGCGCGCGCGCGATGTACCGATGCTAGGCAAACTAACGCAAGGCGGAAAAAAGAAAAAAAAAAAAAGAGATCGGTAGGTCGGAAGACTCGGCTGGCGGTGGTGGTCTCTCGAACGATCAGCGTCAATCCGTCTCGACGCGCCGTCTTCGCGTTTCCACCGGCTCTGCTATGCACGACACAAACAAACAAAGAAACAAACACGTGTACTCGTGGGCGCCAGGTTTCGAAAAATCGCGTTCGTTCCTCGAAGGGGACGAGAACGAGAGGACCCGCGCGCCGTAGCGGCTCGCGCGTGTCACTCACGTTGTCGCGACAGTCAATTAGTTTTAATTCAGCTTTTCGCGCGAGGAGCGATCGCAGTGGCGGAGAGAATCGTCCCGGATGAGCGCGGGACGGAACGGACGAAGGAAAGAAAGAGAAAGTGGGAAAAAAAACGAATCGGGGGAACGCGTTCTTTTTTTTTTTTTNCGTCTCTCAAGGTGAAAAAAAGTAGTCATCTATTCGCAGGTAAAGAAAAGAAAAAAAGAAAAAAAAAAAAAGAAAAAGAGAAAAAGAGGAGTCGTAAATATTTCGCCGGCGCGCGCGTCCCACGCGTCGTCATCGTCGTCATCGTCGTCATCGCCGCTCGATCGAAACCATTCCGGCGATCCATCCTGCTCCTCCTCCTCCTATTAATTTCCCACCTCGACCCTTATCCCTGTCTTCTACCCTCGTCCTCATCCTCGTCCTCGTCCTTATCCTTATCTCTCTCTCACTCTCTATTTTTATCTCTGCTTCCACATTTTTTCTCCCTTTCCTTGTCCGGTTTCCGATCCACGCATTCCTTGATCCACATTCTCATTTCCTCAACCATCGTCACCCGATCCTCGAAAACCAGTGAATTTTGTACCGAAATGCGAAACTTGGAAAAGCTACTTTCATATACGGAATTTAATTTTTTCACGAAACATGTGCATTATAAAAAATAAATGCCAAAAAAATCGCAAAACCGACAAATAACCCAGAGGTCGCACGTTTGTTACCGATTGTCCCCCCAGGTTACTTCCCAGATGCTTCCCAGCTTCTTCACCGTGTATATCTTCACGCCGTACGATTCCAGATTTCAGATCTTCTCGAGAAGCCAAGGAGAAGAAGAAGCAGCAGCCGTGCTCCTCGATGCGAATGTTGACCAGGGGGTGGGCGATGGTCGGCGATACGTTTGATCGGCTGTGTTGGACGATTCGTTTTGGGGAGGAACCACGCAGGGTGTGAGAGAAAGAAAATCGGCAAATCAGGGGGAAATTTCCGGCCGATAGACGTTGCCCTCTTGCGCCATGCAGGCGCTCGCCGCGATTTCGGCCAAGTGGGTGTCTTTGTGGGGTGGCGAGGCGATTCGATGGAACTTGGCCGCCGCCTCCAACAACAGGTTCAACGCTCTCTCCGGTTCGTGCTGTTCCATTACGTCGATTCCCTCGGCGTACAGCCGCTCGCACTCGCGGACACGCTCGAGCCTCTCCCGCAGGTGAACTCTTCGTCGGCAGGAGGAGCAGACGATCGAACCGTCCGACTCTGCCGTCGGGGGTCGATGCAGCTTCAAGCATCCCTCGGTCGGGCATCTGCGATCAAAAGCTAGTTCTTCTCTGCTTCTTGTACGTAGTACAACGGCACAGCACTCCTGCCCTTTTTTACAGCTATGCAGGACGATTCGCGTAACTCGCCCTCGCTGAAATAAACTTTCAAATCGTGCCTCTAATGAAATATTGTTTCATTGACAAAAGGTAGGATGCGTTTATCAATTTTCTGTGGGTTTCGAAATTTTCCAAAGTCTATCTTTTCTTATTTCTTTCCGTTGTCCTAAATCGAAATTAAATTCCAAGTGAAAGAGAGTATCGAGCCGAACGTAAACCTGAAACTATACAACTTTTGTATTAAACAATTTTTCATTGGACGCACAACTTTGAAAGTTATCTCAGGTGTGTACAGTGAAGAGCGTGACTGTACCAACAACGATGGAAATAATTAAAGTTGATGTAACTTTGCAAAAAAAGATTATGTAGCAGTCTGCTTCGGTTTCATTTTAAACAGCGAAGCTTCTACTTTGATAGTAAAGCTTGTTTCTTTCGAAGATGATTTTACATCGCGTAGCATATTTCTCGAAAGTCGTCAGAATTCAAATGCGTGTAAAAATATTACAAATTTTCTTCTCGGGTGAGCTAGACCATCGTTTTGAAGATTGCAGTTTCACAATGATTCCTTAAAACTTTCTACAATTTCTTCTTTATTGTTTCATTGGATATCGAATGTTAGGGGTTAAACGGGGACAAAAATTCGAAAATCCCCAATATTTCAAATTCAATAGAATGGCGAATATTGTAAAAAGTTTCAATCTCCAATGGAACCATGATAGATTCAGTCATGAGAAAAATTTTTCAATGCTTTCACACGCGTTCAGATTCTTACGATTTTTCGAGAAGAACGTCTCACTCGCCGCGCGATGTCGAAAATCATTTTCGAAAGGAACAAATTCACGGCCTGTCGAGGTACAAGCTTCGAAAACGAGGCTTTAAAATGAGATTTTTAAGTGGATCGTTACACGATCCATTTTTCACAAAGTTGTATCAGTTGAAATTATCGACGATTTTTCATTGTCACTGGTACAGTTATGCTCTTCGCTGTATTACGTAAACGCCTGTGTCATGTACGTGCGCACACGTAACAACCGGGACACGTACTTCAGTCTGACGATGTCGTTGGTCAAAGTCTCGAAGCGTGGCCAGTCCTCGCGGCAGGCGGTACACTCGCAACGAAACCAATACCTTCCGGCAAGAGTTCTCTGCCGTTCGTGCAGGCTTTGCTTCGTGAATATCGGCCCGTAGTTTTCAGCGACCACGTCTCCTGGACGGAGGCTGCGAGTCGCCCGAATCACTATGGATCGGCCGACGAAGTACCTGCGGGAAAAGCGAAATCGTAGATCGGTTCAATTCAGAAAAATCGGTGAATCGACAGTTAACCGTTTCGCTACAGCGAGCGATTATATTTTTCATGCTTCGTATCTTTTCTTCTTTTCCTGTGCAGATTTAAAATCGCGATATCGTATTTTGCACATACGCGTCACATGCGTAAATATTAAAACTATTTTTATGCGTTCTACAGGGCACCGTAATAAATGAAGGTAGTATTGAAACATTTAGAAACATTCTAAAATTGCGTGTTTCCATTAACCTGTTGCGCTGGAGAATTTTTTTTTCCAAATTACAATATTTTTTCAATTATAAGTATATTGAAATGTAACCCAGCTAAAACAAACGCTGTTTATTACTTCTTAATAATTTCTATCCAGTGATATCGTACCGACGAGCTCAAAAGAAAAAGAAAACGACGAATTTTATTGTGTACGGTTCAGTCACTCGTTATGGTCCGCAATCAGCTGCCAGCACAACTAGTTAACCTCTTGGGTTGGAATTACGTACGTTGAGAATTTTTTTGTCTCAAAGTTGCAATAGTTTCTCAGATTTAAGTATAGTTAAGTATAACTCAGGTAAAAACAAAAAATTTATTACTTCTCCATAATTTCTATCCAGTGATATACCGGCGAGTTCAAAAAGAAAGCGACTAGTTATTGTACGGTTCGGTCACTCGTTACGGTCCGCAATTAGCTGCCAGCGCAAGTGATTAACCTCTTGGGCTGGAATGACGTGCCACGCACGTTAAGAATTTTTTGTCTCAAAGTTGCAATATTTTCTTAGTTTTA